TGTGTTAGCTCATAATGCTACATCAGGACTCCATAGACTGAATACAGGAGAAGCAATGTACAAAAAGATAGTGGCTAGGAATTTTCCAGAATTGGTTTAAGGCATGAAGAAACACAAAGAGCCTCTTTCAATGCTAGCACATCATAGCAAAACTGCAAAATACCAAAGACAAAAACACAAACAAACCAACCCACCACCACCACCAAAAAGCAACCAGAGCAAAAGGATGACTTATTGTCTTAGTTCTCTAGTGTTTTGATAACAGAAATACCACAAATGGGTGGCTTTAACAAACAGAAATGTATTTTTTCGTAGTTGTTGTTGGTGGTGTCAAGTGCCTTTAAGTCGATTCCGACTCATAGCAACCCTGTATAGGGCTTCTGAGGAGCAGCTAGTAGGTTTGAACTTCCAAATCTTGTGGTTCACAGTCCAGTTCTGATCCTACAGCACTACACCAGGAGTCCTTTTCATAGTCTGAATCCAGAGCCTGGGCTCTGTGGACTTTAGGGGAAGGTCCTTGTCTCTTCAGCGTCTATCCTTGGTGATCTTCCTGTGGTTTGGCATCTATCAATCTTTCTCCATGTCTGCTCACTTGCTTGCTTGTAGAACATCCTTCATATCTCAAAAGAGATCGACTTAAGGCATACTCTGCAATCACATATATTGTCTTGTTAGTATAACAAAGAAAATTCATTTCCAAATGGGATTGTAATATGTTGATTTACAACACATTTTTTGGAGATGAAATTCAATCCATAACAGCTGTCTCCAAGGGAACCCTAATTAGGTAACATGTGTCTTCCCAACAACGATCAAACCTAGAAGTTAGTGTGGAAATATGTGTTTGCATCTGAAGTATCCAGGACAGCATTGAGGATAGAAAAATTGGTCCTAGTGTGGCACTGCAGGATAATGCTCTAGACGGTAAGGTCACTATGAACCTCAAGGTTGGTGGTTCAAACCCACCAGCCACTACTCGGAATCTTTATACAGGGTCACTACAGGTCGAAACCAGCTTGACGGCATGGCACTTAACAACAATAATTATAAACTGAATAAATTGAATGAAGGCAAGACATTGGTTTCCCATCCACATAAAGCTACATTTGTGGATACAGGAAATACTCTCCTCATAGGATTATAGCTTTATGAAGAAATGACTTGGAGACAAACATCCCAAGTCCGATTTCTTTTTTTTTTTTTTTACCATTTGACCTTGGGCCTCTCTGGACTTATTTCTATTACATGGGTCCCACATTACATTCTGGAAACCTCACATCAACCCACATTTATGGAAAACTTTGTAGGCCCCACACAAAATAAGCCAATTATTGACAATTCATGATATGTTCATTAATAAGACAAAGTCTCCATTCCCAGGGAGCTTCCAGCCTGGGTGGGGAGAGACTTTGAAGGTCCCCATTGGCCATTCAAACTGACAAGTGTGTGACAGTGGTAGGCATAGTCTTTAGAAGACCAAGCAGATGAAGGCAGCAGGGGCTGAGAGACTAAGAAGGGCAGGGAAAAGAAAGCGCAAGACACTCTAGTTGAGAAAATATCTCTGAGTAATTACTTAACTGTGTAGGTGTCTTAGTTATCTTGTGTCACTACAGCAGAAATGCCACAGTGGATGATTTTAACACAGAGAATCTTATTTCCTCATAGTTCAGGAGGTTAAAAGTCTGAATCCAAAACCCCAGCTCTGGGGAAAGGTCCTTGTCTCCTTTCAGCATCTGTAAATCCAGCATTCCTTGGAGCTCTCCATGTGTCTTGTCATGAATCCTTCCCTGGTTCTCAGAGCTCCACCGTGCAGGGAGCCGGGACTCCACTCTGGGCTCTTCTTTCTTGATGTTAGCAGGTCCCTCTGATCTCTGCTTATCTCTTCTTTTATCTCTTGTAAGTAAAAAGTGTTGCAGGCCACATCTCAGAGAAACTCCTGTGATGAGATTAAGGGTGGTGCATTCTACCATTCTACCCTTAATCTTTTTTTTTAATTTTAAGTTTTATTGTGAATTGGGTGATAGTTTACATGGGAGAACATCAGCTTTACATTCATCCTATCATACTTCGTTTCATTGCAATGATTACAATCCCCTCCACGCATCATCATTCAACAGCATTTCCTTCCATTCCCTCTGTGTTTTTGTTTGTTTGTTTTGTTTTTAATGTATGCTGAAGGCCTAGAGAGGATACAACCATTCAAACAACCAAAGGGCACACCCTCAAGCCTGCCCCCAAGCCATCAGCACTCAGTCCCTCTTCCTCCCTGAGTCTAGAGTCCCTCGCCGCTACATCTCTCCATATCATCATCTCTGCCTCCATCTCTGGTGTCACTGCTTCTCTGGATAGGGCCCCGCACTCCACTCTTCTCCCTTGATGGTCCCAGGGTCATTCACTCCTGGACTGCTAGATTAACTGTTCCCCTCCTTTTGTTACAAAATATCTATCTTTACATTTGCAACACTTACAATCAATCAGTCCTGATAGCAATTATTCACTATTGCACCACAAGAGTCTTATTCCCAGCTCCTTTCACCAGCCCCATCTGGACAGGTTGGAAACCACTCAATGGAGATTCTACCTTCCCCCACACCCTCTGAAACTAGGCTCCCTTTTTAAAGCTTGTAAACCAGTCACTTTGTGCCTTTGTAGCCCCCCTCCCCCCTCCCCCCATTTTGGGTAGCCAGTGTCTAAGTTGTCTATCCCTGTCTACCCTGTGTATCGAGGGGGTGGAAATGATCCTCTCTGTAAAGTATAGTTCCCTCTTTTGAGTTACTACATCCATAAGTATAGATCAAGTTCATCAAATTGTAGAGGATTACTCTTTTTATCCTCTTCTTTCTTCCTCTAGTGAAGTTCTGATCATCCAGACATTGAAGCCAGGTCAAACGGGTGCTATCTGAAAGTATGGGTGTTCTTGTGCATCTCCCCTCACTTCACATCAGCTGGACGCTTCACTCTCCACTCTAGTCCTCTGTGGCCATGTTCCTGTCCCTGGGTCCAGGAGTCCCCAAGTCTTGCCATACTGCTGGTCAACTAGGTCTCAATCCAGGTGGACCAGTTGAATGTGGTCGGACTTAGCTCACAACTTCATTGCTGCTTTTCCCCGCACTTCCCCTTTTCAGTAGACTAATGTGGTCACCAGCAAGACCACATGCCTGCTTATGTATTCCCCCTGAATCTCAGTCTTGGAAGGGGGTTTGCCCTGAAGGGCCAGACCACTTGCTTTGATGGCTCACCAGTGAATAACTTGCTTGTTCTTGTGGTAGTCAATCAGACTGCCATTATTGTTTTTGATTTTTCCTGCTGGTCTTTGTTTTAAGAAGTATCTTCTGTTCTTCTAACCGCTCCAGGCTGGTCTGCTTGTCCTTTCAAGTGGAAATTTCCCACCTCAGAAGATTCTGGATGGGGGTCTGGATTTCACCTATGGTTTTATGCAATGCAAAGGCTCTGCAGAAAGCATCCTTCACTGGGAAAGTTCTAGGCCCTTTTTAGGCATTCCAATCATTTACAGCCTCAGAAACCCTGTACAGGGTTGTTATGAGTCAGAACCGACTCCATGGCACATAACTACCACCAATCAGTTATAGGATGAAGATGGACTTACAAGCTTTCTATTATGATGTTTCTGGTTATTTCTTTCTCTCCCTCTCAAGTATCTATTTTACAGTAGTAGGCAAGGGAAACCAAGATTTAAAAGACAGCCAAGCATCTTAACATTATTTTCCCCCTTTTCCCCATTCCAACTATGTCTCAATCCCTGTATCCCAGAGCCCTGTTGTTCCAAGGTTGAGCATACATCATTATTTACCTCTGTCCCACTTAGCCCAAGCAAACCTGCATAAATGTTCTCCCATCCGCCTTGTTCTTCCATTCCCCTCCTGCTTCTTAGGTATTGCCCCTGCCTTCAGCACCCTACCCTTAATCTTTTTATTAGCTCATCACGCCTTGGGGAATCATCACATTAGTGCCACATACCATTGCTATTGTTGTTAAGTGCCATCAAGTCGGTTCCAACTGACACGAACCTGCATAGGGTTTCCAAGGAGCAGCTGGTGAGCTTGAACCGCCAATCATTACACATTTGGTTAGTTATGTGCCGTGGAGTTGGTTCGGACTCATAGCGACCCTGTACAGGGTTTCTGAGGCTGTAAATCTTTACGGGAGCAGAAAGCTTCATCTTTCTCCCGCGGAACAGCTGGTAGTTTTGAACTGCTGATCTTGTGGTTAGAAGCCCAATTTGTAACCCCTCTGGTAGAACAGTGGTTACGAATCAGGCTGCTAACCTTAAGGTCGGCAGTTTGAAACTACCAGTGGTTCTGCGGGAGAAAGATGAGGTGGTCTGCTCCTGTAAAGATTTATAGCCTTGGAAACCCTGTGTAGGGTCACTATGAGTCGGAACTGACTCCACGGTACTCAACAACAATGCTACCTACACAGTACATCATAACAAATCTCAAACCACTGAGAATCATGGCCTAGTCAAGCTGACACATAATGTTGGTGTTAAGTGCTATCGAGTCGGTTCTGACTCATAGCAAGCCTGTATAGAGTTTCTGAGGAGCCGCTGCTAAGTTTGAACTTCCAACCTTGTGGTCCAATGCTTATCCTACAGTGCCACACCAGGATTTACACGTTTTAGGGAGACACAATTCAATCCATGACAGTCATCTGCTGTAGAAAATGCAGGTCATGTTGTATCAGGAAATGTTCCACCAGAGCAAACGATGAGAGGGCCAGGAGGTAGGATGGAAAAAGGTGAAGCAAAGAGATGAGTTGAGGACTGGTTGCCTGGCTACCAATCCTGGATCTCATCCTTGAAGATATGAGGTACCAAGGAATGTCCGTTAGCTGTCCTTTATGAGCAATGAATGAGATAATGTTCCTCAAAGTGTTTTGTACATGGCATAAAAATCTGAGCAGATTTGGAAGACTAGCGTTTAAGACAAGAATAATGTCTCTTGATTGGTCTTAGCTACAAGTTCTCCCTCTCTCAACAGGTGATGAAATTCTAGAACTCAATGGTGAATCAATGTCTGGGCTAACACATCAGGATGCTTTGCAGAAATTCAAGGTGACTATCCCTTATCAGAGTATGACCAAACTCTAGAACCTTCAGGCAAATGGATTACCTTTTGTCATTCAAACCTACAAATTTTAGGGATCCATTACATGGGGCACCTAGCTGATACTGACCTTTTACAATACTAATAAGAGAACTTACTAAAAACCTAATCATCAGGATTGTTGTAAGGGATGCTTACACTTCACAACTTACAAAACGGTTTAAAAATATTTTATGTTTTCATATTGATAAATTTATAGATTTTCTTTACATTTTAAGGCAATTCCCAACATATATTTTTGAGTCTCTATCTAGTTAGTTCAAGACCTATTTATCAGTATAGTTAGCTAGTGTGTTGTTGTTGTTGTTAAGTGCCAGCGAGTCAGTTCTGACTCATAGTGACCCCACATAGGGTTTCCAAGACTTTTAATCTTTGTGGGGCAGAAAGTAATCTTTCTTCTGCAGAGTGGCTGGTGGGCTTGAACAGCCAACCTTGTAGTTTGCAGTCCGGTTCCTATCATACGGAGCCACCATGCTCTCCAGCTATCTAGTATAAATATGTATATATGCACACAATTATATCATATGTATATCCATGTAAATAAACACACACACACACACATGACTGCTTTTCTTTAAAACAGTAGCTTACTGCTGCTATTGAAGGAGGCCAGTCTTCCTCACCTCCCCTGAGTTGTTGCTGCATTTCCATCTCAGTCTCTCTTATTTTCAGCAAGCCAAAAAGGGGCTCCTTACCCTCACAGTGCGTACCCGCCTGACAGCCCCACACTCGGGGTCCAGCCACCTGTCCCCGCCTCTGTGCCGCTCTCTGAGCTCCAGCACCTGTGCCACCAAGGACGGCAGCTCCTTCGCTGTGGAAAACCCCGTGGTTCCCACCAGCATTGCCAAGCCCAATTACAGAATCATGGTGGAGGTGTCTCTCAAGAAAGGTAGGTGTGCTGACCTTCTGGCCTGAGAGGGCTCTGCTCACCCTCTACCTGGACCTCCCAAGGCCGAGTCTCTGAGGCTTTCATCCTTTGGAATCAGTTCAGGGGCAGAGGTGTTGTTGAATCACTGAGACTCATAGGGCAGAACAGAAACGCCCTCGTAGAGTTTCCAAGGAAAACAGATTACTACATTTTTTTCTTGTGGATTCAAACTGCCAAACTGTTTGGTTAGCAGCCCAGCAGGTTAATAGTTAGCAGCATTTTTTTTAGGGAGTTCATAGACTACTCCCAGAAATCATGTTCAACAGTTTTAGGAATGGGGCACAGGGACTTGCATTAGAAAGTGTACCCCCAAGTGAGTCTAAGATCTACTAGAGTTAAGAATTTTTGCTTCAGAGTTAGGGTTCCCTTGAAGGGCTCTGACCTTTGATCATGGGCCTGGTCATCCCCAAATATCTTCATCCATATAAGAGGACAACTAGCAAAGGCTCACGGCCTCCTTCCTGGGACCAGCATCAGAAGGTGAAATGTGAATTGCCAGGAAAACCCCAAAAACCAACACACACATAAAGAGGTCTTTCTCTTCCTCCCTGGAAACTCCATCTAGTTCTCTTGCTGGCTGCTTCCCAGGTTCCGGAACTTTCAACGTTGGTAAGCCCCACACCCTCCTCGTCAAAGATTCTGGGAGACCACATCAGCTACATGGCCCTAACACCACATACATGCTGCTACTTTCAAACTTTTACTTTTGCCCTGTCTTTTTCCTATGGGTCCCAGATTCCTCTATCCAACTACCTACTCTGCAAGTCCAGTCAGCTATCTCATGGCATCTCAAGTATAACTTGGGCAAACCCAAGCCCGTGGTTCCCCCATTCCCCTAATCTTGTTCCCTATGTCAATTTTCTCCACTTTGATAAACTGTATCATCACTCACACAGTCACTCCACCCCCAAAAATCTCTGAGTTATTTGATTTCCCTCATCTAATCCACCAGCAAGTCTATCTCCAAGACAGCTTCTACATACATCCTCTGTCGATTTTCCCATGGTGAGTCCAAGCCACCATTGTTTTGCTCAGTAGTAGCATCTTAAATGGTCTGTGTCCTCTTACAGTTTCTCCTCCTCACAGCAGCCAGTCACATATTTTTAAATAGAAATTAGATTAGATCATGTCACTTCCTTGTTCAAAACTCTCCCGTGGCATCCTGTCTCAGTATAGAATAACATCTTTGACTGAGACATCCTTGTTTACAAAGCCTCATTTCATCTGGCCCTTGCTTCCCTCAGTGACATCAACTCACATCACTGTCCTTGTGACCAGCTGTGTTCTGGCTCCACTGGGCTCCTTTCTGGTCTTATACCACCTCTATTTACTCTTGCTCTCAGGACTTTGCATTAACTGTTTCCTCTTCTGAGAATGTTCTGCCCAGTTGGTCCATTCATAGCTCCTGCTCACCATTCACATTTCAGGATAAATGCTGCCTCCTCTGAGGTAGTCCCAGAATTGTCTAGAATATTCCCCACAATATTTATCACTTTCTGATATCTTTCTCTGTCTCTCCATTCCTTTTCTTCTCCTTCCCTTTCTTCTTCCTTTAGTTCCTTCTTCCCTCCCTCCCTTCTTTTCTTCTTAAGGTCTCTGAGAGCAGAGACCTTGTCTTCCCTGACCACCGCTGCTGAACCTAAGGCAGTGTTCTGCACACAGTAAAAAATTAAAAATCAATCAATTGCCATCAAGTCAACCCTGACATATGCAGATCCCATGTGTGCTGGAGTAGAACAGTGCTCCAGAATGATTTTCAATGCCTGAGTTTTGGAAGAAGATCACTGAGATAGTTTCTGAGGCATCTCTGAGTTGACTTAACTTCCCACTAAGCATGTTAACCCTTTATACTACTCAGAGACCTGCCCACAGTAGATGGTCCATATATGTGAGTGGGATAAGAAGGGACACTTGACTCATCCATAATGGGGGTGCTGAGGGTGCTGTAGGATAAACAATAGATTGCTATCCACAGAGTTGGCAGTTCAAACCCACCAACTGCTCTGCAGGAGAAAGATAAGGCTTTCTGCTCCTGTAAGATTTACAGCCTTGGGAACTAGATGGCACATAACAACAACAGCGGAGACTGGTTAGTATCTGCAAAGTTTAACCACAGTCCCCTCACCCTGTTCTGCCTTCCAGAGGCTGGTGTTGGTCTGGGAATCGGTTTGTGCAGCATTCCCTACTTCCAGTGCATCTCGGGCATCTTCGTTCACACTCTCTCTCCAGGGTCTGTGGCCCATTTGGATGGAAGGCTCCGGTACGTCTTGTTGCTCTTTCTGAGAAGAATTCTGATTTACAGAGAAGGGAAGGACCATCTTAGAATGTCAGGGGATTGATTTGGAGATAAGATAGTTAGAACGAATGATCCAGCCAGGATTTAGTGCCTTGTTCCTCAAATCATGGTCCGGGAAAAACAACATCGTCATCACCTGGGAGCTTGTACGAAATGCAGAGTCTCATGCCCACCTCTAGGCCTACTGACTCACATTCTGCATTCTAAGGAGGTCTTACTTAACCAGGTGATTGGCGTGCACATTACAGTTGAAGAAACATTGTCTCTGAAAATACAGGTCCAAAATAGAAAACAAGAAGTAAACACTCTTTAATTCAGATTTAGCTGATCTAGAATTTGTAGTAGCATAAACAGGAGCTTCAGTAAGGTTTACCTGTGTGTTCTATATGGAAAAATAAAGCTTATTAAGCAAATCAGTAGGATAGCCACAATTTCATGGTGGCATAAACAAAGCATTTTTACTTACTCCAGATACATTTCTTGACAAGTAACTTCTAAGGGAAGTACAAATCTAATTTTGTTGTTGTTGTTCAATAATGTATATTTCACAAGGATCTAGATTCTTTGTCATGTTATTTCATCCCAATTTAACTTATTTTTAACACTTTATACTTCTACATTCATACTACAGATGTATCTTCCTTCACTGGGTTTGGGTTTTGTTTAATCAGGAGAGTTTTGTCCTGTTTATAAAGGTTTTATTATAATTGCAATACATGTTAGGACAAGGCCTGCTTAGGATAAAGTTTCTGAATTAGAGATAGATTTATTGTTGCCATCTGCAAGAAGGTGACAGTTAATTTACTAAATCATGTGCGATATTATCTTAGTCCTAAATGCTCTCCTAGGCCTACAGGAAGGTAGGAATTATTTTGGAAGTTTCTACTTTATTTGGAAGTTGGCGCTAGAGGACAGTGGTCATTCACAAAAATGTGTACTTCCTTGGCAACAGTGAAGATGGGTTTGACTCAGTAGAAATGTAGCACCGGAAGGGACAATGAGATCAATATCAAGAGACCTGAGTTCTAGCCTGGTCATGACAATTAAGAGTTAGGCCGGGGATTGGAAAATATGGTTCTCAGACCCACCACCTCTGTTTGCAAAGAAAGCCCTATTGGGACACAGCCAGTGTTTACATGTTTATATGTAAATATGTTTACATGTTACTGATGACTGCTGTCATGCTACAATGGTAGAGCTGAGTGGTTGTAGAAGAAGCTATATGGTGCCTGTTACACTTTGGCCCATTATTGAAAATGTTTGCCCACTCCTGAGCTAGCTAATATTAGGGAGGTCATTTCACCCTTTGTACCTCAGTTTCCCTATCTATGGAAAAAAAGAAAAAAGGATTTTGTAAGCCTCCATGTTTTGACTGAATCTTGCTTTTCTCTCTTATTTCCTTTTTCTTTTTAGGTTGCTAGTATGCTTTCCTAAGTTGCAACTAGAATGAACTCCCTAGGCTTCTCTTCTCATTTCTTCCCATGGGAACCTCATGAGCACTCCTGCCTGGTGATTCTTTCTTTACCTGTTCACACATTCCCTCCATCCTATCCAGTTCTCCCTCCTAACTGCTCTGTATACAGGGAGACTGAGACCCAAAGAGATGGAGGATGTGATTGGTTATAGGTTTTGTGACAACTGTTGAGCCAAACACTATTTCATGATTTTACTTCCTCGTTGTGTTTAACACCAGCCCCTCAAACTTGGTTAGGCTTTGTTGAAGGAAAAGAGAGGTGGGTGGATAAAGAAAAACCTTTGATAATATGGAATGACTCAGTGGTGGGTCTGAAATAGCTACTTTGCGGATAATGCAGTGAGCGACACCCTCCTTCGGTCTGCTCTGCCCTAAGTTCTATCAGGGGCCTAAGGAGTTATGTCTTGATTTGATTTTTAGGTCTCATCAAAAGGCCCAGCTAGCAACAGGCCCCCAGAGTTGTGACAATTGTTTACTACAAATGGAAATGGAATGAATGAACATGTTTTGTTTATGCCACCATGAAACTGTGGTTATCTTACCAATTGGCTTAATAAACTTTATTTTCCCATATAAAACACACAGGTAAACCTTTACAGAAGCTGCTGTTTATATTACTACAAATTCTAGATCAGCTAAATTTGAATTAAAGAGTGTTTACCTCTTGATTTCTATTTTGGACCTGTATTTTCAGAGACAATGTTTCTTCAACTGTAATGTGCACGCCAATCACCTGGTTAGGTAAGACCTCCTTAGAATGCAGAATGTGAGTCAGTAGGCCTAGAGGTGGGCACGAGACTCTGCATTTCGTACAAGCTTCCAGGTGATGACGATGTTGTTTTTCCCGAATCAAGATTTGAGGAACAAGGCGCTAAATCCTGGTTGGATCATTCATTCTAACTATCTTGTCTCTTCATTGATTCGATGCCAATGACTTCCTATTGGTGCTTTTGCAGGTGTGGTGATGAGATTGTGGAGATCAATGATTCCCCAGTACATTGCATGACGCTAAATGAAGTGCACGCAGTCCTGAGTCACTGCAGTCCTGGCTCTGTTCCCATCATTGTTAGCAGACATCCGGACCCACAGGTAACATCCTGCTGGGTCATCCTCTCCTTCCCAGGATCCCGCTTTCAGTACTGAAACTGGAATGAGGAATAAACGAATGGCTAGGTCTGGGCCTGAACAAATACATATCTGTAGCAGGGGTCCATGGACAAAGTGCTAGACATCAGAGACCATTAGTCTTCAGTTAGGGAAGTTTTTGTAGCTAGGTACAGCCGTAAGGCAGGAAAATATAGACCGAGGTCCCTGCTAGCAGATATAAGAGCATCATTCACCCAGACATTTTTACTCAGTACCCACTAAGTACTGAGGATGCAGCGATAAATGAGTTCATAGTACACAGTCTTATCCTTCCTCTAGAAGCACACGGTCTCCTCAGACTGGCATAGAAATAGTTGCACTATGGGAACCCAGAGGAGAACACAGAACGGAAGGGATTATAAGCAAACTTTTGCCAGGCAAAGACCTTGAGGAAGGTCATTCCAGACAATGGGGACACAAAGATCAAAGGTATCATAGAGTTATGAAGGGGGCTCACGGAAGAAGAGTGGTCAGTTCAATGTGACTGGGATGCAGGGTACTGGGTGAGAATGATGAACATAAAGGTTGCTGAGGCATTGGGGTTACATGGCAGGAGGCTAAGTATTTGTATTCTAGTTTGTGAGAAGTGAAGAGTTAGGGTAGACCTGTAGTCATAACTATAACACATCCATCTGTTTTTTTAACTTGGACCACTTTGTGGAAGACAGAGTGACTGTAACTGGAGGTTGTCAGAGAAGTTGTGAAGAGGAAGGAACAAGATGCTGATGGTCTGCACTAGACAGGAGCTGACAACAGAGGACAGAGAGGAAGGAACAAGATGCTGATGGTCTGCACTAGACAGGAGCTGACAACAGAGGATAGACAGGAAGGAACAACAGGAGACAACATTTGAGAGGAACATATAATCTCTGCTTGCTGATTGGTTCTGGGTAACAGAGAGGGAGGAACCTAGTTTGTTTGGAGTCTACAGGTAGACTTCAGAGACATTGCAGGTTCTGATCCAGACCACCACAATAAAGCAAATACAGAAATTCAGCAAGTCACATGACAATATTTGGTTTCCTATGAAAGTTATGTTTACATTATACTGCGGTCAATCACATGGGCAACAGCATTATGAAAAAGTTTGAAATATTGTGAGAATTATCAAGATAGACACAGAGACATGAAGCAAGCACATGCTGTTGGGGGTAAAAATGACACTGGTAGACTTGTCACAAACTCTCAATTTGCAGAACTTCCCCCAACCCCCTGCAATGTCTGCACAAAAAAGCTAAGTAGAATAACATGAGATATGAATCATGTAGGTTGGAAGACTGAGAGATGGTCACAGCAGAACTAGAACAGAGAATAGATTTGGATGAGCAGATGATTGAAGTGCCTATGGGATCTTTAGATGGAGATGTCCAGGAAGCAATGAAATTTAGGGCTGACCAAGGCTGGCCCAAGAGATCCAGGTTGGAGCTAGATGTGGGCGTTGAAGCCATAAGTATAGAAATAATAGTATGTTAGGGAACTTGCTGATAATCATCCCCGTCACTTATTCAGCCTTGGCATGTGTCAAGAATGTTTGCCAAAGATGTGACACAGACAATCAGATTCAGGTGTCATACAATCCTGTGAACGCAGTACAATGATTTTTTTCCACTTCACAGAGAAGGAGATTGAATCTTGGAGAGGAGAAGAAAGTTATTGATAGAGGAACTAAGAAACAAAACATAGCAAAAACACTGCCATTGAATCCATTTTAACTCCTAGATACCCTGTGGGACAGAGCAGGGAAGTGGGGATTCAGAAGCCTGTGTGTCTGATTACAACCTGTATGCTGAGCAAATAATACGAGAAGCTGGGTTCTATGAAGAAAAACGTGGCATTAGGATTGGAGGAAGACTCATTAACAACCTGAGATATGCAGATGATACAACCTTGCTTGCTGAAAGTGAAGAGGACTTGAAACATTTACTGATGAAGATCAAAAAACACAGCCTTCAATATGGATTACATCTCAATGTCAAGAAAACAAAAATCCTCACCACTGGACCAATAAACAACATTCTTATCAATGGAGAAAAGATTGAAGTTGTCAAGGACTTCATTCTTCTTGGATCAACTATTAACACTCGCGGAAGCAGCAGTCAAGAGATCAGACAACGTATTGCATTGGGCAAATCTGCACAGGAACTTTTTAAAGTATTGAAGAGCAGAGATGTCAGCTTGAGGACTAAGGTGCGCCTGACCCAAGCAAGGGGGTTTCAAAAACCCCAAAAGGATGTGAAAGCTGGACAGTGAATAAGGAAGATCGTAGAAGAATTGATGCCTTTGAGTTGTGGTGTTGGAAAAGAATACTGAAAGTGCCATGGACTGCCAAAAGAACCAATAGATCTGTTTTGGAAGAAGTGCAGCCAGAGTGCTACTTGGAGGCCAGGATAGCTAAGCTTCGTCTCTCATACTTTGGACAAATTGTTCAGAGGAAACAGTTGCTGGAGAAGGATGTCATGCTGGGTAAGGTGGAGGGTGAGAGAAAAAGAGGAAGACCCCTAACGAGATGGATCAGCCAGGTGGCATCATTGATGACGTCAAGTGTGGCAGAGGTAGTGAGGTTGGCCCAGGATCGGACATTGTTTCGTTCTGCTGTGCATGGGGTCGCTATGAGTAGGTTCCGACTCGATGGCACCTGACAAGAACAACTCTTAACTGACTCCCAAATTCCAAAAGAAAAGAGGACAGAGCATGAAATAATGGGAAAGGTCAACATATACCTTGTGCAGTGGAATTAAACCCAGCCCCACTCAACTATCCAGCACTAAAGGTAAACACACTTGTAAACAACAGGTTTTTTCCTTAAGGTAAACAGATGATTAGCCTAAATCCTTGGGCAATAAAAGAAGCAAAAGAACCTTGACGGACTTAACGCCTTTAGGTGCTCTTGATGAACCTGTTGCTATCCAGTCAATTCAAGGAGCTCTGGTAGCATTTGGTGTGGCAGAAAAGAGCTGGCAAAGCATTCTGGTGGGGTAGACCCTGTGTTCATAGACTACACAGGGCAGAGAAGAGAGTGAGCCCTGGGCTTGGCATCAGATTGTCTGGTCCACATCCAGCTCTGAGGTTTGTCTTTGACAACCTTAGACAAGTCAGCCAATATTCCAGAGCCTCTGGTCTCTAACTTGTCTAAGGGTACACACCTAACAACTGGAGAAACTGGGACAGGAAGAAAAGGCTGTTTCACTCTAAAGGTCATACTCTTAACTATGTCTCTAAATTCACTTATCATCTGGAGTCACAACACAAACAGTGGTCATGACTTTGTTATTGATGATGAAGATGTGATGATAGCATTGCCAAGAACAGAAGATTCTTCAGAGGTAAACCATGAAGTTTGGACATATTGTC